TTTAAAAAGTGGAACCACCTTGGCTGCTTTCATATTATTTGGAAATATTCCTGATTTGAATGACAGGTTACAGATGTGTATAAACGGTTCGATGACATAACTCATTATATTTTTTACAAACATCATGTCCATGTCAACCCAGTCCTTAGATCTTTTATCTGCAAGGTTATTTATAACATCCTTTACCTCTTCTTTGTTAGTTCCTTCCAAAAAAATACTATTAGTACTACTTGTAATTTTGTGATTCACGTTTGTATATACTTTAGGTATTTTGTTTGCAAGGCTTGGGCCAACATTTACAAAATAATTATTAAACTCATTTACAATCACATTGTGGTCATGTATATCATTACCATCCTTTACAAAATATTGTGGGAAACTTGATTTGGATTCATGATTTTTTAAAATCATTTATTGTATACTCAAAGGTTATTAAAAAATGGTTGGACACAATAGGATTTTAAGGAACTATTACCAAGTCCTTAATCTCTATACCATAGGTCAGAACTAAATCAAGAGTGTGATGATAAGAATGAGTAGATGTGCGGACGCAAATTACTCTATTAAATTATTAAAGGCTATGCTTAAGCTATCACTTTCAACATCTACATGAATATTGAAATCACCAATTATGATGATTTTATCAGTATTTAATAATAAGTCAGTTAAGAATTCTGAGAATTCAGACAAAAACTGAAACTGTGATTATTTTAATCAGATTTTTATGGTTTATATTTTTAGAGCTGATTTTTGGTTTATTTTATTTGAGCCGTGGGCGAGTTGACACTGTTTCAATGTGGGTGTGGGTGGGTAACAGAGGAGAAGCAGCAGAGCAGTGTGGAGGACTACAACTCTGCTTCCTGGACTGGACCCTGGGTTGTCAATAATTTGGGGGATAAAGAAAATCAGCCATATTTCTAGAAAGAAGTGTGGCTCTGTCCAAAGTGGGATGGACGCCATCTCTCCGCATCAGACCAGGTTTTCCCCAAAAAGAACTCCAGTTGGGAACATACAATGATGACAGTACATAACACATTATTATTATTATTATTATTATTATTATTGTTATTATTATTATTATTATTAATAAATTGGTTTAAATCATACTTAATTAGTGTATTATATAAAAAAAATAAGACTTTTTTTTCCTAAATCCTATAGTTAGGGTCGGCTTGGGTTTCCTGAGCTGTCCCTTAGTTATGCTGCTATAGGCTTAGACTGCTGGAGGACAAACTGATCACAATTTTCACTCTACTACTGTCTTTACTTACTCTGCTCAACCTGTTTTGTATTTGTAATTATTATTTGTTCTATCCTTAACATGTGGGGTTTTTTTTTTGTCTTTCAGATACATCTGGACCTACCATTCTGTGTTCGTCTGTCTCTCCTTCCTGTCCTCTGAACCAGCCGGTCAAAGCAGATGGCCTCTTGTCCTGAGCCTGGTTCTGCTGGAGGTTTCTTCCTTTTAAAAGGGAGTTTTTTCTTTCCACTGTTACCACTGTGCTTGCTCAGGATGGGAGACTGCAACAAATCCAAGATTCAACTTGTCTGCTGGATTCCTTAGATAGAGAACTTTACTAATTGGCTTTTATGTGAATGTTTCTGTTAAGTGCCCTGAGACAACTTTGTTGTGATTTGGTGCTTTATAAATAAACTGAATTGAATTGAATTAATTGGTAGATTCCAGCTTGTACATATAAATAACGACTCTGCTTCATACACCAAACTTAGTCATGGAGTTCCTCAGGGTTCAGTGCTTGGACCAGTACTCTTTACCTTATATATGCTTCTATTAAGTAAAGTTATTAAACAGCATGGGATTACTTTTTTATTGTTATGCTGATGATACACAATTATATTTTTGATGTGTTATACAGTATTTGTTATGAAATCAGATCTCTCTTGTAAATGAGTCTCCGAGGCTCAATGGGATTAACCTGTCTAAATCAAGGTTGAATGAATATTTGTCCATGGAACTCAGTGAATCCAGTCAGTTATTTAAGTTACAAGCATGTCTGAATGAAATAAAAACCTGGATGACCTTTAATTTTCTGCTTTTAATCTAAGATAAGAGAGGTTGTGGTTTCTGGACATGAGCATCTCAGGAATAAACGTTACAATCTTTCACTTACTCTGGATGACATTGATTTGGCCTCCAGTTCTAAAGTCAAAAACATTGGTGTTATATTTGTTCAGAATCCCAATGTAAGCATGTGACTTTAAGACCAGAAGCCCCTCTGTGTCTTATGTCAGGAGACATTGACATAAAAGACATTGTCTTTTATCCCCCACATTAAAAACATTACTAGAACTGCCTTCTTCCACCTGCGTAATATCACTAACATTAGAAACATCTTATCTAAAGATGATGCAGAAAAACTGGTCCATGCATTTGTCACGTCTAGACTGGACTATTGCAATGGTTTATTATCTGGGTGTCCAAATACTTCTTTAAAACGTCTTCAGTTGATCCAAAATGCTGCTGCCAGAGTCTTAACTGGAGTTACTGGGAGAGATCATATCTCTCCAGTTTTAGTTTCTCTCCATTGGCTCCCTGTCAAATCCAGAATAGAATTCAAAATCCTACTTCTAACCTACAAAGCTCTCAACAACCTGGCTCCATCTTATATTACAGATCTTATTGTTCCATATTTTCCTAACAGAGTACTTCGCTCTCAGACTGCAGGTTTACTTGTGGTTCCTAGAATTTACAAAAACAGAATGGGAGGCAGATCTTTCAGTTCTCAGGCTCCTCTCTTGTGGAACCAACTTCCAGTTTCTGTCCGTGAGGCTGACACATTATCCAGTTTTAAAACTAGGCTTAAGACTTTCCTTTTTGATAAATCCTATAGTTAGAGCCGGCTTGGGTTTCCTGAGCTGTCCCTTAGTTATGCTGCTATAGGCTTAGACTGCTGGAGGACAAACTGACCACACTTTTCACTCTGCTGCTGTCTTTACTTACTCTTTAAAACTGATTATTCATTTTGTATATGTAATGTTTTCTATCCTTGACATGCGTTTTTGTCTTTCAGGTACACCTGCACCCAGGGCCTAATTTGTTAACTGATCAATGCCAGCACACAAATAGTGGGTGAGCCAGCTGGGGGGTGGGGGGTGTCCTGGGGAATGGGCATGCTCACAAGACAAGAGCCTTGCAAGTTGTTTAATGACATAAAATATATTTTGTTAGCAAAGAACAGAGTCTTAACATTCATTAAACTTTAGTTCTATATTTAAAAAAAAAAAGAAACATAAAAAATGTGCTTTAAGAAACTCATCGATAAAACTAAAACATTTTGTCATTGCAAATATTGGCAGGGAAAGGGGGCAGGTATCACTCTCGCTTTGAGTTATACTCTGTTGCATGCGTGCTGTGGGTGACAACAATCCAGAGCATCATAAAAACAGCAGCAGAGGTGTTTCAGTTATTTTGTATTGTCTCTGTCACATTTTCTGCCCTTCTGGTTTCTGTTCATGTTGTTGATCTCCTGTCAACCTGCACCTCACTTAACCACACCCACTCTGCTGAGTCACTGCAATCAGCCCTCATGCAGCTCACCTGTTTTTCCCTTTACTTAAACCCCACAGTCACTCTACTCAGTGCCAGATTATTGAAAGCCTCAGTGAGTAAATGTCCAGCGTCCATGCCACAGTTTTGTTTGTCTTCCTGGTCCTGACTTCATGCCTGTTTTACGGATCCATCTTGCTCGTCCCCTGCTTGTTTTGGATTATTTACTCTGCTCATGGTAATGACCTCTGCCTTCTCTACAACGACCACGTCTACCGGATCACGATTCAATTGGTTTCGGATTTCTGATCACCTGTGCTCGACCCTCGCCTGTCTCCCTGGACCTGTCTTCTGGATCTCCCTCCTAACTGCTTCATGCTCAGTCCTGCCTCAAAACCAGCTCACCTTCTCCAACTGTGACATCATAGAAACCATCTCTTCTAAGGAAATTATTCCTAATCTTTTTATAAAGGGCAGCACGGTGGCACAACTGGTAGAGCTGCTGCCTCTCAGCAAGCAGGCCCCTGGTTCAAACCCCGGTCCAGGGCCTTTCTGGGTGGAGTTTGCATGTTCTCTCCGTGCATGCGTGGGTTTTCTCCGGGTGCTCCAGTTTCCTCCCACAGACCAAAAACATGCATGTTAGGCTGATTGGTAACTCTGAATTGTCCCTAGGTGTGAATGAGAGAGTGAATGGTTGTTTGTCTCGTTTGTCTCTATGTGGCCCTGTGATGGACTTGCGACCCGTCCAGGGTGTACCCCGCCCCTCGCACAGTGATTGCTGGACATGGGCACCGGCGACCCCCGTGACCCAAAATGGAAGAAGCGGGTAAAGAAAATGGATGGATGGATGGATGTTTATAAAGGTTCTTGTCAGTCTCAGCAGCAGAGGAGTGACACGGTTCAAGCATGGCTCCCAAAACCACAAGGCAGTCATATTTGTTCATAACTTTATTATTAGTAAGACTGAGAGTTGCTGGATCCAAGCAAACTGTTTGCAGAATGCACCCAAACAAAATAAGAGTTCGCGGATCTTGTTCTGGCAAGATCCTGTTCAAATGAAGTCCTGCCTACATCTGGACCTGGACCTACCATTCTGTGTTCGTCTGTCTCTCCTTCCTGTCTCCTCTCAAACCAGCCGCTCAAAGCGGATGACTGCTTGTCCTGATCCTGGTTCTGCTGGAGGTTTCTTCCTTTTAAAAGGGAGTTTTTCTTTCCACTGTCTCCACTGTGCTTGCTCAGGATGGGAAACTATGACCAAGTGAAGATTCAACTTGTCTGCTGGATTCCTTAGATAGAGAACTTTACTAATTGCTTTTATGTGAATGTTCCTGTAAAGTGCCCTGAGACAACTTTTGTTGTGAATAGATGCTATATAAATTGAAGCAGTGGCAATTTTTTTTTCATTTAAAATCAATTCAAAGAATGCTGGTCTTAATCAATATTACTTTGATTCTAAATACAGGACATAATCAGTCAGTGGTCAAATACATACGTGTTCCCTTCAGGTACAACATGGCCTGCGGGGTCCAGTTTCTCCTCTGGAATGTGCTCTGGACAAGAAACAAAACACGTAGTTTGATTTAGTCATTTTATTTTTCCAGAACATGAACTTTAATCAGTGGTCACTGGATAGTTGTGAAAGGGGAAATACCTTCGGCGTAGTCCACGACTGGGAGACATATGATGCCAGCAACACGAGCGTGAGCACATTGGTTAACGCCAGGCTTCTGAAACCCTGCAGATAAGGGGGATGTAGAAAAACACTTGAGATTCTCCAAGTAAAATGTTTTTTTAGGGCAAAATTAAAAATTGTGTTCTTAAAAAGTAAACAAATGCAGAAACTAAAATTTTCTATGAAAATAAAGTTAAAGCTGAGTTTTAAAGAAAGATGTTGAATGGACGTCTGAAGTCCTGACATTGTGACTTATATGCAGTTAAATGTTTGCTGGAGTAAAAACAATTGTTTCCAATTAAAAAAAATATATATATTTTAACAAGAGCAGTGATGTTAGTACTGAGCCCTGTGAAGGACATGGAGAAATTTATTGTTTTTTTTTTTGTTTTTTTTTTGCAAGAGTTTATTTAGGAAGATTCTGAGTGGGATTTTACTAAAGTAAAATGTTTTGCTAATATGGTTTTTAACACATCTGCTATGGTTTTAAACTTGCCTTCATTTAACTTTGAATTCAATTCAAAATACTTTATTAATTCCAAAGAGAAATTAAATGTTGGTGTAGCTCATTATCCTGGTTTCATTAAGTTGTTCTAGATGCTGATGGCTGTGGGCAGGAAGGATCTGCAGCAGTCCGTCCCACAGCGGATCTGAAGAAACTGGCTGCAGATGCCGATCTGTCCACCCAGACCCAGCGGGCCTCTCGGTCCTCCTTGACAGCAGGACCACCTGAATGTTGGGCAGAACTCCTCCCTTAGTGATGGTTGCTCCTCCCAGCAGCTTGCTGAGCTCCTCATCTTTTCAGACAGCTGCAGGTATCGGGGGATGATCCCGGTCCTGTTGTCATGAGCTGTGTTTCCTGCCAGCTCCAGGATCTCAGCAGTCAGTCACTCGAGCACCTCCTCCAGATAGAGGGAGATGCATCCATGGCACCTCCTTTGTAACTCATTTGGGATTTGGGGCTTTATTTGAGGTAATATTTGAGCTTTGAGATGTTAATCAGCTGCTCCTGGTTGCAAAAACCATCTTGTTGCCATGGTTACGCTTCATAAGAAATGTTCGACAGTAAAAGGTTTCAGTAAAAATCCTTCCAGAGCAGAGGAAGTAATCATCCGAAAAAAGCTATTTACATCCAGAAAAAAGAGGAAATAAAGTTTTCAAAAGTAAATCCCAGAATGAAATTAACAGCTACTCCAACATGCAGCCACCTTCAGCGGTGTAATTCTACAAAACGTAAACTCTTAAGAGACTTAACCTCTGCCTCCTCAAAAGTAGGCATGGGGAGCAGATTGAGGAGATCCTTGAAGTTCTCCTTCCCCTGTCCAACAGTATTCTTTGTCTGGTTACGGCAACTCCCCAGTAAATGCAATTTAATTAAAGTAAAATCCCACTAGTGTTCAGTGAAGTCACGAGCATTGTGAGCAGAGTGTGCAAGAGAGCTGTTGTGTACTCTGGGTTTACTTTTAGAGATCTTGTAATGTTTTGGGATCCCTCAAAGGTTTTGTGTCATTGTGAGATCATTAAACAATGTCACACAAAAGTTGTGAGTTAAGCTTAAAGAAAATGTAAGCTTAAGATCCTGTACATTTTTTGAAAGATCTCCAGTTTATTTTACATAATCACTCAAATGTTTACAAGGTTCCATGTTGTTTTTGTGAGATCCCACAATAAATGTGCTAAATCCCGAGTTTATTTAGTGATCTCCCGAGTTTAGGTTGCAAGATGAGTTAATTTTGCAAGATTGCAAAAAAATTTGTGAGCTCTCGAGTTTATTCTGTAAGATTTTATAAAAAAAAAATTGAGAGATCTTGATTTAATTGAGGCTGAGGCCCCAGGACGTGTTTAACCCGAGACCATCACGAGGGTTAGACTGATATGAGTCCGATTAGACCGGGTTTCGTGACATAACTCAGAAAGTATCACAGTAATGATGTAAAAATGATTCCGAGTTCTCTGGTTCACAGAAAAGGGAGAAGAAGAAAAGATGAGGAAAAATGAGACAATGACAGAGGTGCAAAAAGGAAATGTGATCAAATTATTTGACTGTTCCATTGCAATAATTATATCATCCATCCATGATCTTTACCCAATAATTATATCATCCATCCATGATCTTTACCCACTTCTTCCTTTTTGTGTCGTGGGATCATGGTGCCCACATCTAGCGGTCGTTGTGCGAGAGGTGGGGGAAACCCTGGACATGTCTCCAGTCCATTGTTGTGTCATATGCTATATGTCATGTGTCATGTTATATGTCATATGTTATATGTCATATGTTATATGTTATATTTCTAAAACTTGGTACGAACACTTGGCTGCTGCCATTTGGTTTCTCCTTTTTCTTCCTCTCCTCTCAGAAGAGAGATGTGAGGCCACGGACACATGTGGGCCCGCCAACTGGGAGGAAGACGGTTGAAACTGGGTATTTGGAAAGCTGGGTGGCAGGTAAGACGGGTGCAGGCGGCAGGTAAGACGGGTGCAGGCGGC